AAATGTCTGCAAGGAAACCACCCAGCTCAGAGAGCACCAAGGACCCCACAATCCTCCTCTTCCTCCTCCTGCTCCTCTTCCTCCTCCTCCTCCTCCTCCTCCTTTTCCTCCTCCTCCCCCCTTCTAGCACTGATGATGTTCCCTAGTTGGGTCATGAAACGTCTGCAAGGAAACCACCCAGCTCAGAGAAGCACCAAGGATCCCACAGTCCTCCTCCTCCTCCTTTTCCTCCTCCTCCCCCCTTCTAGCACTGATGATGTTCCCTAGTTGGGTCATGAAATGTCTACAAGAAAACCACCAAGCTCAGAAAGCACCAGGGACCCCTCAGTTCTCCTCCTCCTCCACACACACCCCTCCTCCTCCTCCTCCTCCTTGCAAACCCCACTCCTTCTAGCACTGATGATGTTCCCTAGTTGGGTCATGAAACGTCTGCAAGGAAACAACCAAGCTCAGAGAGCACCCAGGACCCCACGGTCCAAAACCGACCTACACACCTTCTCTTCTATCCATTCTTCTCATCCCGCTTGTGTCGCCCAGAGGGCCCTTTGCTGAATTTGCTAAATAAAACACAAGCTTCTTTTTGGGGTTTGTTCTTTTTTTAAAAAACTCGACATCATCATCATCATCATCATCATAATAATAATAATAATAAAGTTGGAAGGGACCTTGGAGGTCATCTAGTCCAGCCCCCTGCTCAGGCAGGAAACCCTTTTGATTTTTGACTTCCGTCCGCGGGGAACCGGATCTTAAATCTCGGGAGTCGATTTATGGCCCGAGAAAGTTCTCAAACCCGGGTTCAATTCCTGAGCCCATCTTGGGGGGGGGGTGTTTCCGCGGGCTGTTTTTTGTCGATTCGGGATTCGAAGCGACACGGCTGCTGCTGCGGCGACATTTTTACAAATACGGGTGGATCGTCGCTAACTGAAGCCGCTCTTTCCTTTCTCCCAGGCCCCCCTCGATTCCGGGAATTCCTTCCTGCTCTTTGAGGACGAGGAAGAGGAGGCTGAGGTGGAAGGAGAGGAAACGCTTACGGACGAGGAAGAGGAAGAAGATTCGGACCCCCTGGGGTAGCTTTCTCGTCCTGGGAGGGGTGTGTGTGAGGGTTTATGAGGGGGGGTGTCCCAAATTCGAATTCGGCCTTTGTTTCGTGGGACGGGACACGAGTGCGAGTTTTGCTTCCCTCCTTCCCAGTTTCTGAGCTCGTACAGGTAGTCCTCGATTTACGACAGTTCCTTTAGTGACCGTACAAAGTTACCACGGTATGGAGGAAAGCGGCTTAACG